TTAATACGATATTTGCAAAATATTGCCCACTGGCACCAGGAATCAGTTTTTTTGCGCTCCGGAAAAGTTATTAAAAACACATAACTGTTTTTGTTGGCGCAGCGACGATATGTAGTTCGGAATTAGCGCTTTGACAGACGGTCTCAAAATTTGACTGCAGGGTCACTATGTAGATATGTATGTATATACATACATAAATATGTGTTGCTATTGTGCCGCTATTGTCTGCTCAAACAAACTGCATATCTACATTAATATGTGCATTCATTAATTTTATGCATTTTTACTATGCATATATGTACATATGTACATATGTATGTATTTACTTATTTGTGTTTGTTTATTTTTTGGTTCAGTTTTTTTTGTCTATGCTCGTGAAAATGAAAATTTATTGCTCACTGTTGCGATGCAAGTTGGAGTTGTTTAAATATTTTTGCGTGCATTACCTCATGTTTTTATTTTTGTTTTTTATTAGTACTGGATTTTGTATATGTATGCACATACATATACCTACAGGGTGTCCAAGAAGTAACCTACCAAACTTGTGGTGAAGGTAGGTGGGGGATGAGCTCCCTGATAAGCAAAAAATTTCAGGAAAAAGTGTCACCGTTTTTGAAATATTGAAATTTTTTTTTAATTAAAAAAAAAATCGGACCTTTTCATGTATTTTATTTAACTGCCTCTACAAACAAGGCTATACTTAGTAAATTTTGTATGTAAAATCCTTCCAGATAGTTGCTTCTCCATATTCAAAGAGCATAAGAGCGTCTGCAAAGAATAGCACACAGGGAGAACACACCTGGATTGAGGCAGGCGAAAGAACTTCGTGGAAGCTATAATTCCAAAATAACTAAAGAACTAGTATCCCTTCAAAAGATTAACCTGAGATTTATAACAGGGATGCTAACGGGGCAGTGCAGACTGCGAGCCCATATACATAACCTGGGCATTAGTGTAGACGACTGTCTGTACTTGAACAAGAAGATAGCTTGACGACGAATGGGCTTGAGTGGGGATGGGCACGGGACTAAATATTCAATCCCGATCCCGAAATTAAATTTTTATGACCCGACCCGCCCATTTCGACGTTTTTCACAATTGTACCGCGGGTCCCGTGGGTCCCAAAATCTATCACTAAGAAAAATTCCACTGTCTTTCAAATCAATTTAAATAATAAAAAAGATAATGAAAGATCTGGCATCTTCCTTACTTTGCTGTTCGTTTTCGTCTCAATAAAACTTAAGAGGTGCTTATTTCAATCAACGTTGTTAAGGAAGATTTTCTGTATTTGCGGCGGTTACGGGTTTTATCGGAGCGTCGGGAAAGGATTTTGGTAACGTCGCGGCCGAAAAATTTTTAAAGTCCTTCCCGATACCGCCCATCCCGGCCATTTTGAAATCGATACCGTGGGCCCCGATATCCCGCCTCTAATATATCGTATAATGACCGCCCATTTCAGAATGATATTTTTTGCCACTTTGCCAGAAATTTTAACTTCAAATTACATATAAATTTACTCACATAAAGTTTTTACAGTGAAAAACGTTTCATATCCAAAGCTCGATGGTTAAAACGTTTTTCCATTACGCAAATCATCATGACTAATGGCTTTTAAAACGTTATTCCACGTTGCTCAACAGAGAGTACGATGTTATTGAATATGTTTATTTTTTTAATAAGGGTTACGTTATAGAAGTCAAGAAATGTATTTATTTATGTACATATATACATATATAGTAGCATATGCAATCATAAACCTCTATAACAAGAATACAAATAAAATCTTAAGTGATGTGTACCTAAAATGTGTTTGCATATTCTTGCTAGGGGACATTTCCAATATTTCTGTGGCTTAGACAACGTTATTCGCGACTCGACTTCAAATGTTGCACTATATTTCCAAACTACCCTGCAAAAAATTGTGCGACTAATCTCTAAAGAGAGTATTCCGAGATTACTCTCAATCGGGTACAATTGGGCATTAATTAGTCCCAACTAGTCTCATACGTGTACTAATGGAGGTCAATTAGTCCCGACTCATCCCTTATGGGTATTATTGGAGATCAATTAGTACCCAACTCATCTCTAACGGGTACTATTACCGATTTAATGATATGTACGCACTTCACACAGAGAGAGTATTCGCCAAACAAAACTGAGCACCCCGGTTCGAATCTCAGCTGGCGCAAATTTTTATTTTTATTTTTTAAAAGTGAATAGTCGCTTTTTATACCCGTTCGGGTATAAAGGTGAACAATTAGTCTCTTCATAGGACATGCTCGAACAAAAACGATCAGTTCATTTCATATAAAGAGATCAAAAGTGGTTTTAGTCGCATGCTCCTTTGCGATTGCTCCCGGAGTCATCCCGGATTAGTCCCATTTTTTTGCAGGGTTGCCATTGCTCCCGGAGTCATCCCGGATTAGTCCCATTTTTTGTAGGGTAGGCACAGTGTGCTCGGCCAGTCCTTTGCTTTTTGCCCTTAGACAACTTTATTAATTAAAACCACAATTCTTCAATTATTTCTTGCTTTTTTCTAGTGATGTCCGAATGTTTCATCAATTTGTTTTATACTTAGTATAAAAATTGCTACTGTTGTTAACGATGCTGACTGGCTTAATTGCTGTGTGAAAAATTAATGTCATTCATTAAGTGATGCGATGTTGCCACATTTCAACTGCTACAAACGGAAACTCGCTATAACTTTGCACTATTGTCATTTAATATTACTCCGGCGGTTAATTTTTTTCCCCATTTTCTATAGGTGTAATAATTCTTGGTTTAAAAATATGCACACATGTATTTATGGAAGTATAATTGTACATATGTATTATGTAGTTGGTATATTTTCGTATTTGCTTACTACTTATCTCCGTACTACCTTTTATTGTGGTAGGTAGATATGTATTTGCATTTGAGGTGCAGTATCTCGTTTCCACTTTTCTGTGAAATTCCGGCAAGTCTAAAAATTTGCATTTAGATTTCCATTCATTAATTTTGTGACTTTTCACGATATATAGACATGTAGACATATGTACATAAATACATATTTACATATGTATGTGCATAGTACTTATGGAAAGCCCTCGCAAGTTTTCTTTATCTGCTTATTTTGGCATATTGGGGACTTTCGGCATTGTCAGTATGTAATTGCAGGAAAGTGAAAAATCGATAATTTAACAAGTGTCATACGTTTGTTCAAGTTGCTCATATGGGAGAACGAAATTGCTGAATGCACGTACTACTAATGTGCATACTACTTATGTACATATGTAAATATATATTTTAAGTACTGAATATCGTCATTTAAAGTATAAAACCGCGTATCGTCATTCTGCTAAACCGCGTAACTGACATTTGCTGCCAAAAACTGGATTTGCTCTCACACAAGCTCTTGGCCCAGTCCTTATCCATTCGTCCTGAAATATGTATACTAGCCAGAAACGCGATTGCTTTATAACAAAAGAGAACCATTTTGAAATATGAGTGTTTTTAATATGTATGTAGAAAATAATTTATGCAACCTCACATACGTAGTTTTGCATTTTGTTGATACGCGGTTTTGCATTTTGTTGATACGCGGTTTTGTACTTTAAACGACGATATGTATCTACATATGTAATGTCAATAAGGGTGCGGTATAGTTTGGAATTGCGTAGGTGGTTGGTTGGTTGGTGCAGCTGTTTTCAGTGATTTTTTTTCTATATATGTACATATGTATGTATTTGATTTTGTCATTCGTTACTTTATTTACTGAAATTGTTTCCTAACGTTAATGAGTTTTCTACCCCATGAGCTTTCCTAAACAAACTCGTGCATAATTTATATTTAATGTGACCTTTGCGTTGTTGGTAGGCTGTTGGCGACATGGAAACTAACAAGTGCAAGTTCTTATATTCAATGGCGCAAATTTTTATTCTTATACATACATACGTACGAATCGAATATTGAAAAATAGTCTATTGACAAATAACAGGAAAATCTCGATAACCTTAAAACCTGTAAAACTCTCGACTCGGAGAATTAAGTATGCTAATGTGTAACTGTTGCTAGTTTCTTGAAGATTTCACGGGAAAGCCGGAGACACGAAAAACTTAAAATTTTTAGTAAACGGTCAATATTTTTAATAATACATAATAATAAAGGTTGACAATTTCATTTCATTTATTAATCAATTCATTAGCAAAAGATCAAAAGATAGCTCTTTTATAGCGCAAGAAAATATTCCTAACAGTAAATACATACTTACATATAACTAAAACGACAAAAATTGCTGAAAACTAAATAAAAGTAACATCAGATAAATAAGTAAGCGAAGTCAGGCTAACGGAAATAGGTACGCATATAAAAAATTTTTTATTTTTGCTTTTATTTAAACTACTGCGAATATGAGATGGAATAGAGTTCCAGATGCGGATAGCATTGACTATTGACTATGAGAAAACACTACAATTAATAAATTATTGAACTTTTTAAGTTGGAGTTTACCGCCACCACGGTTAAAAGTTATTTTGATAAAAAAGTCTGACAGACGATTTTCGTTCTTAAACGTAATTCTCAAAATAGGTATAAATGCATAAAAATTGGCTTAATTAATTTATGTATTTTCTGAATTTTGTAATATTCCACCAATATCTCCAGAGAAGCCAAAGTCAGTTTTCTGCAAAATTTTAATTGTTTGAAGTTCTCTGCAGCTTGTTGCAAGTTTTCTCGAACTTCGAGCAGCAACTGCAACTTGTCGCTTTCAAACAGCCTCAATTAATGCAACCTCAACTTGTTTGTCATACAAACGTCAACCGTTTCGTTGCTATGGCGCTTGTGGCAGCCATCATGGATTTACCTACACGTTTACAAAAATTGCACGAAATTGAGCAGTGCAAGTAGTTCACTCGCGGCTTGCGCTCTCGCTCTAACGCACTCACGTTAAATGTGTGCACATGCATTGGCGGCCATCATGGATTTTTATGAAACGGTTCATATATCAGCGAGTAGCAAAATTGTTAGTTTACTCACTCACTCTCGTGTAATCGATGGGAAAAAGACAAATTCACCACGAATAGGAAGATGAAATAACGAGTTAATTTTTGAACGAGCAATTCGTTGTTTGTCGGCGTTAGCAGTTTTAATGAATTTGGCGTGCGGTTCGGTTGTGAAATATTTATGTTAATAAAAAAAGGCATTTTGTGCATAAAATAAATATGAAAAAACATTTGTGAAGCTTGAATTAACACTAACTGCTATCTAGGAGTTTTTGATGATATAAAATTATCGGCTTGTACTGAGTTTTTGAGAGATTTCATGTCACTATACCACTCGACTGATTTCATAAATAGTGCAGAATTTCGTTTTTTTTAATCAAGTACGTAAATAAAACAAGGATTCATCGAAAATATCGTCAAAACGATTTAGAAGTCTACAAGACCAGGATTTTGCATTGGCCGATTTTTCTCGTTTTGGATTTTCTCCTACAGTGGCCTCAAAACTATTGGGGCTGGCAGCAATTCAGCGCTTCTAAAAGTTTTGTTTATAGAGCAAACGCCGTGCTGCGGATAGTGTAAAATGTAAGCAAAATAAAACATGAATTATAAATCCTGTTCTAACCAACATTTTTACAGCTTTTACGTGTGCTATAAGATTTTACAAGCGCCAGATTTCTTTAGACTTCGCTATTCAGCTAAGGAGAATACAGAGTCATAATTAGTATTTGCAATGTCTGCTTTAGCAACTCTATCTAACCCATCGGCCAATGACTCCGCAAACGCTGGTGGTGGCTCTTCAAACACAGGTGGTGGTGGCGGAGGTGGCAACAATGTTGAGCGTCGTTGTGAAAATACCGATTGCAATGTCATCAAACTAGTTTCTATGGTGCCTAAGCGCAAGATTACACAATTTGTCACAGAACCCACGGTTATGGAGAAGCCAATGCTCATAAATGGTTTCACAACAGTGTTCCAAGTTGAGGGTAATTCGGCAAAGTTGAGTGATTTGAAAAATCCCAATCCGAACACAACTGTGCAAGCCAAAACAATTTTCCGCATTGTACCAAACACTCATGCACACATTGTAAACTATGTTGTCGTTGATGCGGATGGTGATTCGTTGCGCAAAATTAACGAAGGTGATCCGGCAACAATGCGTAAACTACTTGAATCGCAAAAAGTGAGTGCTGATCAAATGTTGAAGAAATTAATGGCAGGACATGGCCCCAGTATACCTATAAATTGCGGTAATGCACCGACTCCAATAGGTGTGAACACCATAAACCCAGCGTCAACCGTAAATTCACGGCCGGCGGTGGTTACTACAAACGCAGTAGCCGCATCTGGTACAATAACGCCAACTATTAACACAGCTAGCGTAAATGCACGCGTCAATGCCACGCAAGCATCTGCATCCAGTGGCACAAGTGCTGGTGCAATAAAGTCATCAGCTATACAATTACCTATGCGTATGCATCCGAACTTGAAGATAACAGCTGTGGCAAGCAGGGAGACATGTGGCCAAATGGTGGATGCAAATGTGCCGCCAGTGCAGGTGCAACCGCCGCCAGCTCCTGCAGCGCCCACGGTGCCCTTAATCACACCTGTACCCTTGGCGAATTTACAGAATTCGCCTGTTACTGGTGCACCTACGGGGGACAAGTGAGTGTATTTTGTAGGGCAGCTCTTGTTTATTGAAGAATTACTAATTTCTTTGCTTTACTTTCATATAGGCCGAATATTGATAAAATGCAAGCCGAACTGGCGGAATTGCGACGCACTGTTGCTATGCTTGCCGAGGCAATGCCTATGAATGCGCAAGCACAGAAGGCGCTTCAACAAACAACGTCTCAACAACAAAATCGCACGGTTACCGTTAAGAGACAGCGTTTAAATTAGAACTAAAATGTAGATTCTTAAGACTTATAATGGATGTACAATGTGTACATATTTAGTAATATTGCTTGTTAATGACGAGATGATAACCTAGAAAAAAGGTTACGCTTAAGGCAGATGGAAGGCATGACACAAGCTTGTGTATGAACTGCATTAGGGACAAGGGGTTATATATCGTCTCTATCAATGGAAATGGTCCTATTTGACAAATATGGATTCAATTAAAAACAAAGAAAAAAACATTTAAATTGATAGCACATCTGTTCTAAATATGCCAATAATTGAGGTTTTTGTTTGTTTAAAGGCAGAGTCACACGATTGGTGCAAGTCCATATCCCAATCGTGTGAATGCACTATTTTCTCAATAAATTTTTCCCAATCACCGAAAACAAATGGTTCAAAATTTTTCATAAAGAAGTTCGCTGTATTGTACCAAAAAAATAAAACGTCCAATTTTTATATTTTTAACTAATGCCCCAATATAAAATGTACAAATCTGTTTTGTACAATCTTGTGACTGCCTTAAGATATTAAGATATGGACTTGAACTTTGGTTTCGAGCTGTATCTGAGAGTCAGCTAACGGAATATTAAAAAAAAAATGAACTTCTGAAAATATGTTAGGGCCGTTTTCTGAAGCAACCTTGTAAATTTAAACCTCGCTTTATATTTAAAGGTTGGATTGAGTGATCTTTAAAGTTACAGGTTAAGAAAACGGCCATAAATAGGTTATTTTACTCTGATAGTGACAATATGTATGTGAAATATGCAAAATAAGGTCGAGTGCATCCGGCAGAGGATTTATTATTATTAAAGACTTTTATTAAGACCGAATACTTATAATAATTTTATTTGATTTATACTGCTCACTTTGAGACATTTGAATTATATAACAAGTACTATGATTTTAGTTCCCAGATCAATTCTATACCCTTTCGAGTAAGTGCCGCTTTCATAGTGGGGAGTTTATTCGTATTCGGCAGTTAACAAAAAATGTGACTTAACTTCCGAAGGTAAGTTAACTTTCCACGATGAAAATGGCCCTTATAGGTCTATTCTGCGCTGGTGATAAAAAGTTTGTAATCAGTAAATAAAGTACCTGTCAATTTTTAAACCCTTTTCGCATTCTGTGTACTCTTGTAACTGATAAATTTTGTTACCAGCTCATAAACTGGTAACAAATTATGGCCCCGTGAAATATGCAATGCAGGATTTGCACAATTCTTCATAGCTGGATTGCTGAATATTTTAACTGCATTACCAACGTACCTAGAATCGCGGTGACAAGAACTGGTAAATTTTTTTGGTAATACAATTTTCCGGTTACAAAATCTTCGGTAACATGCAGAATAGACCTGTTAGTGGGCAAAAAAATCTGTAATTTATTAGTAACAGTTTATTGGAAAATATATACGATTGTTAAAATTTTCTGATTCACCTGTCTTTGAAATTAACTCGATATGCTTGCATTAGATTACAGTAAATGGGTCTAATAACTAAACGACATAATTAGTGGTGAATGTTCTCATTTAACGCCTAAGGAATTATTTTAAGTTGTTAAATGTACTTTCGAAGTAAAGAAATGTATATTAAATGATCATCATATCAAACAATAATTGCTAAGAGTGTCTTTATTGGCATTTATACGCGAGAAAATGGTTTGTATGGAAAAAGTGAGGTTATGCTGATGGTATTGGAAACTATTATATCTCGACGATGCTAAATGCTGTAAACTCGAAACCCGCAAAATATTTAATATAAATTTCAGTTAGCTATTTATCGAACTATTTAAGACTTCTACATAATTTAAGAGAAACTTAGTTCTATTATCTTTCTGAATAATTTCAAACCTACTGAATCAGATTTACTCCAACACCCTGTAAAAGTTTCCACACTAATAAGAAAGTGCAGACAAATGGGTATGAAATGGCTCAATATATTATTTTATGTAAAATAGATATAAATAGAATAGTGGGGCCATAAGCTAAATAAGTAAATATGTACGTACTACGAATTATTAAAACTAAAATCAACTAATTAAACATATTGATGCCATTCGGTATTTGTTCCCATGTCAGCCTGGTCTAAGGTTACTGTGACAACCCGCATTCTTTTCTGGCCAACGACTGTCACTCCAGCATCATTTCCCTAAGCTTTTTGGGGTATGGGCGAGTTCCAAGTTGAATGTTGCTTTGTATTGATGCAAAATATGTATATACAAAATAGGGGTATTCTCCAAATCTTGCAAAGCCGTAGCACGTAGCACGGATTGCATAGCTTGCAAACACACAGCAACAAAATGCATAGGAAACAACATATCCTACCGCTGCAAAATATGCAACGTCGGAACCCATGTACATATATATTTTGCATAATAGCACAGCAAGATAAATGCGACCCTGTGCTAGTTATTTTGTCAACAACGGCCAACAACGTATTTCTATGTTCAACATAAATGCTGCCCCTCTCAAAAGTATTTCTGAGTTCAATGAGGAAGTTGGTGCGCAGAGATACTTCATTGCCAGTGTAAACAAAATTTGAAATTCTTTGCGACTATGCTTCCACCAATAACGGATCTTTTGTCTGGGTATAAGAGGTAGCTGTAAATATATCTCTATTTCTAAATCGCTGCCTTCTTTCTTGTACGGTCGCTGCCTTGTCTACCCATCGTTTGACTATCGACATCACTACAAAAACTGTAAACAGTATCAGAGCCGTTGACGTTTTCCTCAAAGCATTGCCAAATATCCATATGATTCAACTGGTTTCTCTATGCTAACTGATTTATATTTTCGAGTTCGTTCATCAACCCAGTTTTCGGCTTATATGATGTCAGAAAATAAACAAGTATGGAAAAGTGGGTCACAAAATATTGCAACTAGGGAATCCATTCTCGCAAATGCGGGATCCCGCGCCATTTTTTGGGATCAGAAATGAGGGATTACACTTGCGGGATAAGCGGGATTGGGGGACTACAGGAACAAATTAAATATGTAGACGAATGCCAGTTGTGAACGTGCTCGCCAAAATGTTCGTCGTGCATGGTTGCAATAAATACCCATAATTTTATAACCCAGTAGATGATTTCAGGAGTTAAAAGTCCTCCCGAAAAGCCTTCCTGAGAGTTAAGAGGCCTTCCACTCTACATTCCTTTCATTTTTGTAAGGGTTGTTATCAATTGAAGGGCTTTTTATTTCGCTACCCATAGAAGGCCTTCCAGAAGGGCTTTTATAGGACGTACTTCAGAAGGCCTCTTGGAGGAGTTCATTAAGTTTCGCAATGTGTTTTGTGGTTGGAATCAAATCCTGACGTGATGGAGCAAAGCGGACTTCAGATTCGTGTTCAGCGACACCTAAGAACATATAGGACACCTGGTCTGGTTTTATTAACCTTTCATCGATTTTTTTTTATGCGCTTAGCAATTTATGAACACATCATACAACTGTAGAACAGTCCGTTTCTATCGATAAATAAGTGTGAAAGCGGAAAAATTGTTTTTTTCTTAAGCTTCCTTTCAGATGCTAAATTTCGAATACTCAAAACTCTGGTTCTATTAGAGGCACACATTCAGCTCTGGTGTAAGAGTATGTTACATATAATATATTACTTTAACGTCATTTTCAAATATCAAACGGTAAAAAAGTTACGCGGAAAAACAACAAAACTTCGTTAAATTTGTATAATCCAGAATCACTGATGTTTCAGCTAGTTTTGGGAATACAGCGAGTGGGTATTATTTCAGATCGGATAAAACACTACAGTAACTCTTATTATGATATATGTATTTCTTCTGAAAAATACCCTACAGATATGGCGATTTTGACTATATACCTACGAAACTATGCATACTTAATCACCAAAATCAAAAGTTCCTGATTGTGCAATAAAATAAGGTCGAACTTAAAAGATGAAACTTTAAAGACTCATTCCTTCGGATATATTATCAAAAAATTCAACCCAATTAAAAGTAAATACGTCGATTTTCTAAATAAAATCGTCTTTTTAATTTTGAATTAATTTTGAACATAACTATTTAGAGGAAATAATATGATTTTTTTCAGTCCCGCAAATGGCGCGGATCCGCGGGATTGATGTCCTCGATCACGCAAGATTGCGGGATTGGATTCCCTATTTGCAACAATGAAGCATTACGGGGTGATGCGGGAAGCGGGACGATATGTTAGCTTTCATTGTTGTTTATCTTTTGTTTTTAATTCCTTCTCTATTTACCAAAAATAATCGATAAATAAAGTTGGTGGACGTAAAAGTTATTTTTTTAATAAATGATTATTTTATTACTTGGATATTAGGGAAGATATTTAGTATTTTTAATTACGCATTGGATAGTTCAGCTCGATAAAATAGATAATCTGGTCATAAGCATGTCACTAAACATTTTGAAACAACATTTGAAAATTATAAATTTTGAAATTTATAAAGCGCAGTAGTCTACCGGATATCCAAATCCGGCTCTTATTTTTTTACATGATATCCGGAATCCGGTTATTCGGCAAAAACTCTATTCAGCACATCCCTACTTATTTATATTAGTCCATGTCGCCTTTAAAATCACATCGAGTTTCGAATCGCAATGCAGAGTAGACCCCCTGATTGACATACTTCAGCTCAGGGCTTGCATTGAGTCAAATCCTGGGCTAGAAACCTACACCTCCTACGCGTGCCAGAGACGACTACACCCTAAACTCCACATAATAATAATAATTCCTGTAACGGGGGGAGTCAACTCCGAGCTTGCGCGCCTTATGTTATACGTGCTTAAATCGAGTTTCCTCCACGGTACACCAGAGTCCGCCTGAGCAACTCAATACAAACACGACCGCACCGCAACACAACACAATAGACCACACCACATACACAATAGACCACACCGCAGACAGACAATTTCACCACCACCAACACGCCGCCGCCAACAAGTCCTGGTTCCTCCAACAATCTGCTCGGTACGTCAGACCAGGATATTACTTAACGTGACATTAGTCAAGTGCAATGCCTGCCTTGGTTGGTGTCACTTTAGGGCAAGTTCAGGATTGCGCACCACGCGTGATTGGACGAGGGAATATGAGGGGCGGTGTTGTGCTGCTCGGTCGCCAGTCCCTACTGCGACGGCGCCCACTCAGCAGCAACCTCCACAGCAGCACACACATTAAATGGCGGGCAGCCAACACACAACACTTTCTAGGACACACGAAGGTTTTACAATTTAACTGTAACGTACTACAGAGTAAGATCGAAGAGATTTTCGTCTTTATGACTCGGCAAGGAATATTAATAGCTGCTGTCCCAGATATGAAATTGAACAGCGGCTCACCACTGTTGAATTGCGGCGAATACAATGTGCACCGTCGAGATCGCAGCGAAATAATGGTGTTGGCCTAGCGTTCATCGTGCATCATACCATGCAGTATGGCTCCATCGAATCAGACATCGACTGCAAGGATACACTCCACGTAGGTCAGGTGACGTTGAGCTCTAAATATTTGATGTATATATAAACCCTGTGAAGTTTCCCGGAAGGATATCACCCTGAAATAGGTGCGCTCCTGAGGTGAAAACCGTATGGTAGTCGGTGACTTTAACGCCGCACCACGATCATTGGCACTCAAGCCTGCGCAGATAGACGATTCGGCATTAGGGATCTCAACATGGAGATTCCGCAACTTGTGAACGTACATAAGCGGAAGAAGTGGGAAGAGTGCCTGTAGATTTGTAACTTCACCTCTTGTGTGAACAAGCTTTGGTCAACCGTGAGGTTCCTGTCCAACCCGACTCAAACGGTGGTCAGTGAATTGTGTCCTCTCACCGCTGCTGTTTAACTACTATATCTCAAAGCTTCCTCAACCACCAGAGGGTGTCTCCATTGTCTCTTATGCTGATGATTGCTCGATAATGGCGTTTGGGAATGGAATTGTTGAATTTTACTCGAAAGTAAACGGTTACCTCTCCTAACTTTCTCGCTTTTTCACTGCAAGATGCCTAACCCTCCGAATAATTTGGAAATTCTCGGAGTTACCTTCGATAGTCTGCTCTTCTTCTCGGTGCATACAACCGCAATTGTCAATAAAGTACAGAGCCGCAACAAGTTCCTCAAATCTCTAGCCGCTAGCACCTGGTGCAAAGACAAAGAAGCGTTTCTGGCAACATAGAAGGTGATTGGCTGGCTGGTTCTAAACTGTGCAGCTCCTGTGTGGTCGCCGGGGACTAGTAGGACGCAGTGGACGAAGCTAAAGACCTGCCAAAACGTGGCACTCCGGACAGCGACCTGATGTCGCCACAACACAGCAAGCAATTCCTATGCGATGTGACGGACGAGGTTCAGAGGTTTATAAAGCAACCTGTGGACCCAACAGGCCATAAACGGCATTCACAGGGAGTCAGTATTGACTTAAACAGACTCGACCTGTGAATGCTTTTTTTGGGAACACAACAAAATAAAGTGGACCAGACAAAGCTTCGTCTGCATGGATACTACAGCAGGCTAAACTCATACTTGAGAAGATCACATGCATATGTGCCCAACGAGTGCCCGGCATGCGGAGGACGACACGACTCGAGATTTCTCTTTGCATGCCCCCACTCATCCAATACCTTTGTCCGTATGGAAGCTGCACGCTTCCTGGGTCTCACGTTAGTTGAGCTTGACGACAACGATTGAGCGACAAACCGATCTAGGGAGAGTTGAGTAGCCGCTTTACCAAAAATCAGTGCAACCGTGAATGCAAGACATTTATGAAAAGGAAGTATTGGAGAGAACCAACATGAGTCTTATCCGATTCTTACTACCAATTTCTTTTGAATAAAAAAGTTTTAAAGGAAGTTCAGTAGTGAGCCAATGCTACCAAATTTGCCAAGAATATTCAATTCTACTTTATTGAAGGCGTTTGAAAAGTCGTTGTATATGATATCAAATTGACCATTTTGTTCCATTGCTAAAATGATGCTTTTGGGTATAATCGCTAAATTAGAAACTATTGATTTTCCTTGGAGGAACCGTAGACTTTCCGAAAAAAGAAACGAGACGAATGGGTCGTACGTTTTATGTGTTGAGTGGGTTATGTCATCGCACTCCCTTTTAGTCGGGAAACCGGTTCTATTTATTTTTGAGTTTATGAAACGCCAAAAGGAGATGAAGTGGATTTTAACGGACTACATCATGTGTATATACATTACAGATTGGTTAGAAGATGTGCACTGTGCGCTGCGACCTTGGGTCTGTTGTACTCTCAGAGCTCATCAGAGCATCTCGCCTAGCCCTAGTGCTCTGATGATGTTCTTACACGATATGCATTTGCAACTGTAAATATGACTTTCAATACATATGTAATTGCGTATGTCTGTCAAATTCACGGTGTTTATTTAACTATTTAGAAATACGTTCTTTAATAACGAAATAAACTACTCAGATGATTCTATCTGTGTGTCAGATGAAAATAGAAACATTTCTATTTCGTATGTACGTGCATCTGCTGCAACAAATCTAATTTGCCTTTACACATTGCCATATGTAAAAAGTGGCATGTACACATGCAAATACATATCGTGTAAGAATACCTTAAACTGAGATACCTTAAGATTTATTAGAATATTTTTTTCTCAGTATGGCTTGACACCGGATACATTTGTCCGTCGCTATCAAAATGTATTCGGTATGTATTATGTTTAATACACCTTGGTCGCTATATTTATATTTAATTTTTCTTTTAGTGTTTTTATGTATATTTTTGGGTTTTTATATATATTTTGGTATTTTTTATATATATTTTGTGTTTAAACAAATCGCTTTCAATCCATTTTATTCTCTCTTTAAAATCATTTTCCTTACAAACAAATCTAATAATCGGTTGGTTTTCGTCCCAATTCTGATTTTACAGGCCGATCGACGGGACGCAGTCTTACACGAAGGGCGGCGGCGGCGCTCTCGGCCCACCATCTTCACACTCGGCCGCAGCAGCAGCAGCCGCCGCTGCCGCCGCCCAGCAACAGCTGCACCAGCAAATGCATCAAATGCATCAGCAGCACCAACAGCAGCAGCACCAACAGCAGCAGCACCAACAACAGCAGCACCAACAACAGCAGCAGCAGCACCAACAACAACAGCAGCATCAACAGCAACAGCAGCACCAACAACAGCAGCAGCACCAACAACAACAGCAGCAGCACCAGCAACAAGCTGCACAACAACAGCAGCAGCAACAACAGGCGGCACAACAACAGCATCAGCAGCAGCAGCAACATCATCTCCACCATCACCAACAGCAGCAGCAACAACAGCAGCAGCAGCAGCAACAACAAAATGCCCGTTCGGCAGCTAGTCCCCTATCCCCACCACGACCCGGTCCCGGCTCAGCGGCCGCCGCCAACACGTACGCCAAGTACGCGGAGCTTAATGCGGTGCGGGAAGCGCCACATCCTTATATCCAGCAAAGTACGTATGGCATCGGTCCGGGCGCGCAGTACCGCGACAACCCCTACACGCGAATACCTCAAATGGCGCCAGACTTCCAACGCGCCGCGGCAGCTGCTGCAGCAGCAGCGGCTGCTGGCGGTGGCACCGGTAGCGCACAGGTACCGACCGGTGTTGTGCAAGTACCGGGCGGCGGTTTACAGCCGCCACCACCCAGTGTCGGTAGCGCAGCCCACATTGAAGCTTTGCATTTCGCGCACCAACAGCAGCCGCCATCAGGACAACCAACGGCCAACGCAACACATGTGCTCAGCGGTGGTGCTGGCGCTGGAGGTGGCGCAGGCAGTGGCGGTGCACCCTCACCCCTTAATGCCAATACTGCAGCTGGCAATGCCAGCCTAATACGTCAGCGCATTATACTGCCAGCGCATGCGCACTATTCCAGCGAGTATCTGGCGAACGCTAACGCCGTTGCAGTGGCGAACGCGCGAAACCAGCAACATCAACAGCAGCAGCAGCAGCAACAACAACAGCATCAGCATCAGCAGCAGTTGCATCAGCAGCAGCAGCAACAACAACAACAGCAGCATACGCATACGCAGCTGCCACAGGCGCCACCCGATCCAGGAGGACAACCGTACAAGAAAATGCGGATGGGCGATGTGACGGCGAATTCAGTCAGCAACACGAATCACCTGCCACCTAAAGTAGCGAACGCCGCCGCGCAGCAGCAGCCGCGTCAGCCATCACCAGCAGCTGCCTCGCTAGCTGCCGCACAACAGCAGCAACAGCAACTAATAGCTGGCGGAAGCCTACGCAACAGCGCAGCACAAATGATGCAGCAACCCGTTCCACACTCGCATTTGACCGTGGTGTCCAGTAGCCACGTGGCGCACTCCCAGCCACCGCCCGCCGCGATGCAGCAGCTGAAGGTGGAAACACAGCCGCCGTTGTTGCAGTCAGCGGCCGCGCCGCCTACAAATCGCAGCATGTCGGGAACCGTGATGGGAAGCAGCAGTAATATTGGTAATGTGGGCGTTGGCGTCGGCGTAGGCGTGGGCGCGGGCATGGGCGTCATCAATGCGACACCAAATGCGTCCGCAATGATCGCAAGCGCTGGGGCAGCACCACCACCACCACCACCGACGAAAAGCTCTTCATCCTCATCAGAAGGCTACCATCCGCAAGTAGAAGCCATCTCACCTACACTGCCAAGCGACAATGTCGAGGAGCGCGGTAGCGCTGTAACCGAAGATCTGCTGACGCAAATACAGAAAGTAGATGCGGAGATACAGAGCGCCGAAAATACGATGGACACACTACGCAAGCAGGAGAAAGGCCTCAAGGACAAGGTCGCACTGAGCAAGCAACAGCGTGAGCAAGATCTGCTTGCCAACGAGAACGACGATGCGGTGAAGATGGAGCATACATGGCGTTTGCAGACGCTGGCACAGAAAATTTACGAGGCGAACCGTAAGACGGCCGCCGCGCGACATTCCATACTCAGCCATTGCGGTGATCGCAACATTTTACCGTTGTATAATCAGCCGTTGGACGTTGAGATGCTGACGACGCTGATTAAGCGACATCACACGACGATACGCACACCGCTGATGGAGCACATCTGCAAGCTGAAGCACGAGCGGNGCAACATTTTACCGTTGTATAATCAGCCGTTGGACGTTGAGATGCTGACGACGCTGATCAAGCGACATCACACGACGATACGCACACCGCTGATGGAGCACATCTGCAAGCTGAAGCACGAGCGATGGACCCACAATACGGGGCTGGTGGAGACATACGCGCAGATGTCGAGTGAGTGGCAGAAGCGCGTGGAGAAGTCGGAGGGTAGCGCGAAACGAAAGGCGCGGGAGGCTAAGAATCGAGAGTTTTTCGAGAAGGTCTTCACGGAGCTGCGAAAACAACGCGAGGATAAGGAGCGCTTCAATCGCGTCGGCTCGCGCATCAAGTCGGAGGCTGACTTAGAAGAAATCATGGATGGTCTTCAAGAACAGGCAATGGAGGATAAGAAGATGCGCTCCTACGCTGTTATACCGCCGTTAATGTTTGACGCGCGTCAGCGTCGCTGCGTCTATTACAACGAGAACGGCTTCATTGAGGACATGGTGGCGGTGCATAAGGAGCGGCAGACGTTGAACGTGTGGACCGCGGGCGAAAAGGAGATTTTCAAGGAGAAATTCCTACAGCATCCGAAAAATTTCGGCGCCATTGCCGCCAGCTTGGACCGCAAGTCGGCACAGGACTGCGTACGCTACTACTACCTCAGCAAGAAGACGGAAAACTACAAGCAGTTGCTGCGCAAGTCGCGCCAACGCACTCGCTCATCACGCAACCCGCAAAAGTTGCAACAGCAACAGACACAGTGCATTATCGACTCGTTGACAACGGGTGTGACAACGCGTTTGCAGCGTGAACAACAGCAGAAGACTGGTGGGCGCTCGGCGGCGGCGGAACGAGAACGTGCCGAACGGGCTGAGCGTGCGGCCGAGCGTGCAGCAGCGGATGCGGCGAAGGCGGCAGCGACCGCACAAGTCAAATCCACCAGCGGTAAGGGAGATGGCAGCAATGCTGCTACTGCGGCAACGGCGGAAACGACGGCCGATACGACTGAAGTAGCCAAAGGCAAAGCGACAGCTGGGCCTGAAGCCGCTACACAAAAATCCAACATCAACACGTCCAATAGCAGCAACAGCACCACCGCAACAAGTGGCACTACTACAAGCACATCAGTGCCGCCAAAAGCTGGCGAAGTTGAAAAAGCTTCGTCCGCCGAAAGCTCATCAGCAACAGCAGCTGCAGCTGGTCAGCAAACAACAGATGCACCAACCGATGCAGCGCAAAGTGGCACAGCGGCGAAAGCGAAAGCCGACGAGATATCAAATGCCAGCAAAGCGAATGCTACAAGCACAATTGCAGACGCGGCATCAACCACCAATGCGCCGACGACAACCAGCAGCAATGTTACCAGTGCAGATGAGAGTAGAAAAAAGCTCGCAACAACTTCCGGCGGCGCTGGCGCAGTCGTGGCGAATAACGAAGCGGAAGCGGATAGTAAAAAGTTGGCCGATGAAAAGCACGTCGTTAGCAGCAGCAGTAACAGCGGCGGCAACACTGCGCCAACATCGGGCGGCATCAGTAATGTCAACGCCGCCAATGCCGTGTCTGGCAGCGTGACGCAGCATCCACCCGGCACCACACCGAATGGCATTAAAACCATTTATGCCGCCTCAATGGCACAGGCGGTGGCGGCAGCAGCGGCCAATGAAGATGTAAAAATGATTGCTGTAGGCGATAAGATCGGCACAGCAGCAGCAGCAGCGGGAGCAGTAACTGCCAGCAGCTCGGGCGTAAACGCGATGGATGCTGGCGGTAACAACAAGCTGGGCAGCGGTAACAGTGTGGCCACGCCCACTACCTCAACAACCGCTGGCAATTTTCTTGGGCAGAAACTCAAGGCGGCGCAAGTGGAAGGCATTGGCGCCGGCAACGTTGGCAACTCAGATGTTAGGTGAGTAAATGAAGGGGAATGAGAGTTAGCAGAGGTAGAGGTGATGGCTAAAAGTTAGATTACGGTGTAAAAAGTTTAGGGTGAAAAAGGGTAAGGTAAAAAAAAAGAAAACAAAACATAAGGCAGGAGGCATTCGGTTTGAGGATAGGAAAAAAGTAATTAGTAGTTAGTATTGTAAATAATTATTCGTGAAACAATCTTTGCAAAAAAAATTTTTTAGTTGTATAATTTTTTATTGTTCTAATAAGTCTTATTAGTAATGAAAGTAGAAACATTTTTTTTTAATTAGCATTTTTTATTTAGTAAATTCGTTAAACTTTTTATGAACATGTAAAAATCTACTTCTACTTTGAGTTTTTTAATCAATGTTTTTTTGTAAATTCAGCGTTTATACATGTATATATTTTTTTAAATGTTAATGCCTGATTTGATGTTTTTAATTTTTTGACGAGTCTCGCATTTCAAGTAAAAGGTTGCAAATTTCAGTTAAGCTAGTAACAATTTTTTGATATTTTCAATATTGTGAAATTTTTAATTTTTTCATGACTTTATTTTTTGATGAGTTTTATTTATTATTCGTTTTTTACAAAGCGTTAAAAACTAGTTCGTTTAATTAAGCTTTTTAAATTTCTTATTTGCGCGAGTCCTTACAAATTTTAAATTACTCATGAGAAAATTTTATTTGAAAGTAACATTATTATTGTTTTTCTTAATCATTTTCTTTTGTTTTTAGTGCAACGATAAATTTCACAATTTCATAATTCCACTATTTCAGTTGACTGTTTTTCATTTATCTGTTTAAAAATATTCAAAAATAAAAGAAGCTGTTTGTCTATGCAGGACCTATATATATATATATATATACAGTGGCGGTCAAAAATGGATGAATGGTGTTTCGTTTTTAATATTTACAATGCTAAATTTTTTTGATATTTTTTTTGATAAAAATATGGTTCATGCTTTAACCAAAATTATATGAATCGCACTTTCAAACTTCATACAGAACCTATTAAAATTCCACAAATTTTTATCTAAATTTCGAGCTTTTCAACCAAAATTTTTAGACATTTTTTGGGTATGCAGTTAACAGGCTTATAAAATTCTAGTCAAATAAGTGCGAGTTTTGTTTGTTTCGGAGGTTTGCCATTGCCCGCCGAGGGGCGACCGCTGTTAAGAAAAAACCTTTTTTCAAAATTTTTTTGCGATGTTGCTTTGACCAGTCCTTGAACCCAGGCCCTGCGGAGTGGTAGCGCGCACTGCTAACCACTACACCACAGGGGCCGCCACTTGCACTTACTTTACTAAAATTTTACAAGCCTGTTAACCGCATACCCAAAAAATTTCCAAAAATTCCGATTAAAAAGCTCGAAATTTATATTAAAAAATTTGTGGAATTTTTCTAAGTTTGTTAAACCATGATCCATATTTTTATAAAAAAATATCAAAAAAATTTGAGCTTGAAAAACATTGTACATATTTAAAACGAAACACTATTCATCTATTTTTGACCGCCACTGTATGTACATATTTATGTATATCCTCTTTAGCACTGCAAGGGACTATAGTGATTTAGTTACTTTTTTTAAGTGTAGTTTTTAATAATTTTAGTTTCCCCTTTCACACTAAAATTTAAAAGCATAAGATTGTTTGGTATATTTATTTTTAGGTTTCCTGCATTCTTTCGTAAAATTTTAAATAAAGGGTTTTGAGAAGTGATGATGACAAATTAGTTTAAAAAACCTTTAAGATTACATTTTTCTTATCACATACATATGCACTTTAAGATGGTGTATTACTTCATTAAAACTTACAAAAAAATTAAAAAAATTCTTAATTATAATTTCGATGTATCTATTTTTTGCAATGTATTTTTTATGAGTTCTTGTAAATTCTATACTTTTTTTTTATTTATGATAAAAAATATTTTTAAAGACAGCATTCTTCAGAAGTATTAACTTTTTTTTACATTTTTTCTTGAAACTGTTGCTTGGTTTATTCCCAAAATTCATTAAAATAATTTTCCAACTTAATATTTTTCTTTCTTTCACCCCTATTTTGCAGTGATCCAAAACGGAAGCGTCTCGACGTTACGTCGAACGCAGATGCTTCTAACGCAAACTCCTCCTCCTCTACCAACACCACCAACACGAATAACAACAACAACTCTTCCTCCTCCATATTATCCAACTCCACTACGAATCTACACGCGCTTAGTGCTAATCCTGCCAATCGTATTAGCAACAATAGCAGCAACAACAACAACATTGCGCAAACTGGCGCTGGGTTGGCAGCGGCAGCGGCAACAGCAGGTGCAATTACAACAACACTTGTTGGTGTAACGCTTACAACAACGTTGACCACAAATAGCGCGACAGCGACGCCAGGCAGCGGTGCTGTGAGCATCAATGCCGCGCCAACATCAATAACGCTTACAACAACGACTGAAGGCAACAATGCCATCGATGGTAAAGGTAAGTGGGCGCAAGCAAAAACAAATTTGTATTTATTATCTCTGTTAAAAATGATAATTTTCTACCACGAAACATATGTATGTACAAGGCAGAAGAAGCAGAAGAAAAGTTGATGTGGTAATTTTTATTAATTAATGCAGTTAAATGAAATAATACTTAATATTCTGATGAGCGCTGCAATCGAAAATGCAGCGGTAAATACATAAAAACCTTTCGGAAAGCATTGTAAAAACCACAACTGCGCGGCGGCAATACAGCTGAAAGTGCATTTTAAAGGTGGCTCATAAAGCAAGGCGCAGAAACAGAAGAAAATTTGTATAAAAAAAAAAACGAAATGCAGGAAATGCGTACTCAGTAAAAAATGTTCCAAATGTATTTTTTTTTGCATATATGTAGAGGGGGAGTGTGGGCGCACCAGAGCTTGCATACAAGCGCACACATGCATGTTTGCTACGTGCTTTTATGCGGCGAGCTTAAACAAAATTTTTAATTAAATTGACACTTTTTGACAGCAGGCCGGCCGACAGGTCGTTCGAATGCTTACCCCTCCTCTCTCTTTTACTAGCTGGTCCTTTGGCCATCATTGTGTCGGTGCTAATGGTTTTTGGCCCTTTTGTGTGTGAGTGGATGTGTGCTAAAAGAGAATTTATTCTCTTTCTGCATATTCTTGTGGTAGTGTTATTTTAATTTTATTGAATTGCACTTTGTTTTGCAGTAAGTACGTATTTCTGTGTATAAGGCTAGATTCCTAGTCGGCAAAATAGGGAACCCTCCTGCTGCGATTATTTACATTATTTCCATTGCTTTGGAAACACATCTGCTCTTATTAAAGAGCTCTGTCTGAAAGCGGGTATTTACAAGCACCTTTCGTCAAATCAAATCCTAAAAGTATGCAACGAAGTATTTTTTCGGCCAAGGAAAACCCCAAAAACTGCATTGGAACTTTCCACAATCAATTTAATTTTTTTCATTAAAAAGATGACTATTTATGCCTCCCTGAGGATTGTAAAACACATTGGTACGCTCAGCGCTTTCATCTTTGGCAAGTTATCGATTGTGATATCATGAATTTATTGAAAGTTTGTCGACTAAATTCTCTAAAAATACATATAACGCTTAAAATATCAATTAATAAATCGAAAACGATATCGACTAAAATATCGCTGGCAATATCGAAAAATGTTCAATAATTTTATCGAAGAAATATCCATAACACTATCAACTAGTTTATTCAAATTTATCAAATTTTTTTACTGAAATAATCGATAACGATATTGTAAAAAAATTAGATAATTGTATCGAGAAGTATTCACACAAATCTACTTAAATTTATAATTTTTTTTTTGACTTATTTATCTGGGGTAATTTTGTCCTTCTTAAATCCGGAAAAAATCCATAATCAATAAAAAATTTCTGCCGCGCATGAAAAATAAATTTGCACCTGAATTAAAATTTTTTAATTATTAACGCGAACTTTTCTTTTCCTTTTGTTCTGCAGCGCCACTTCCGCAGGATTTCTGCCTGCATATATGTATGTTTGTATGCAACACCACATCCAATGTTTCTTGCGTTGCACAAATTTTGACGCGATTTCTTTTACGCGTGCTAGCTGCAGAGTTGACTTTTTCGCGTTTTCTTTGTTATTTGTGTAAAAAAATATTTTTGCATATTTTTTTTTTTTGTTTGTTTTGAGCTAAAAAACCTTATTCGAGTTCATTTATTATTGAATATCCTTGAAATGGTTGCGCTGTTGTGTGTAAACCCGACCCCAGCAGCAACAGCAGCAGCATAGAGCAATGATGTCGCCTTTTAAATTGTGTGTTGCGCCTACGAATGTTAAGGACTAAGTGAATGTGTGTATGTAGTATCATCTGTCTGTCGTCCGAGTACTTCACCTGCAGCTGCTGGCGTACATTCTATACATGCGGCAATTGTTCAGCGGCGCTTACATTTATACAATTTCTCCATTAACACACATGTCCGTTTTTTATGCATATACATATGTACTTATATACTTGGCTGTGTATCTGTGTATGTTCATAGCTGTAAGCGCAAGAAAAAAGGCAAACAAATTAAAAAAAAAAAATATATATTTTAAGGCATAAAAAATTGTATTGACATAGAAACGATTTACCAAGTTATCCACTCATGCACGGCTGCTGCAGTCTGAGCCACATACATATGTGTAGTATACATATGTGTGTTTGCTACATACGGCAGCAATTAACTCACTTTCCGCATTTGTTGCAACGCGCCGATGAGAAAAAGCAGAAACGTTTTTTTTTTTACTTTTTTTCGAATGAAAGCATCCACTCCGCCTCCAGCGCGGCAGCCAAGAGGCAACAACGGAAACGGTGAATTTAAATTGCCTCTTTAAATAAAAAATAAATACATGCATGCATGCAGCTAGCGAGGGAGGCAACAACTACGAGAAGCTGGAAAAATGTAGCATACATTTTGGCACAATAATTTGTATTCTTACTTTTCATTTTTATTTCATTCCAACAAAAAAATTGCGCAGGCTGACAAAAGTGCTTTAATTAACTGTTTTTAACTTCAGCGCAATGCGAAAAAATAGGCAGTAAAAAACGATTGAATAAAATGTATGAAACAGTAAAAATATCCTCCAATTTAATTGATGTCGCCGGCAACACTTTGTCACACTCGCGCTTAGTGGCTTTTGTTTGCGCAAAATAATTGTATAAAAAGAAAAGGAAAAATTGCAAACAATTGCAAATTTTGAAATATGTACTTCTATTTACAAATAATGCAGTAACTAAAAATATGCTTTAATTTTTTTTTTGTACAAAAGTGCCACTAAGCATTGCTGCATAAACGCTTTGCACTCTTCTGACGCATGTATGTATGTGCCACAGTCCCACTTTTGTTCATGCTTTTTTATTTATTCCTTGTCTATTTAAAGTTTTTACTTTCTATTTTTAAAAATTACAATTTCGCACTTTTATTTGTTTGCCGCGCTCGTTAAAAATGCATGCGACGTATGGCCTAAAGCGCTGTCGCATGCAAAACCAGTGCAGTTATATAGTTGCATTTAGGCGCAATGCAGTACGGATGGCCCCTGTCTTGTTAATATGCATGTATGTATGTATGTATGTATGTATGTATGTATGTATGTATGTATGTATGTGTGTATGTATGTATGTATGCAAACATACACACATTTGTGCAATTTTTACATATAACCCAGTGCATTTAATTATTCACTGCGTTTTTTGCTGAATATTCTGAATATTTTCTCTGTCGTTTCGATAAACTCCCCCACAATTGAATTTTCATGTTTTTTGCGCATGCAGATTTTTTTTGCCATCAACTGTTTTTATGTTTTTTTCTTTTATAAACTTAATTGACGCGACGTTAATGAGTTTTAATATCCATTTTCTTGCATATTATTTTGCTCGTGATATTTTAAACTATGTTATTTTTATAGTTCTAATTAGATTTTTTCACCATAAGTTTTTGCTTACCAGCGCTTAATTGTTTTAATTAAATTTCTGCCTTTTTTGGTCTCCACTTATCTTTTTATAATTAAAAAGAAAACGTTGCAAATTTTTGTTATGATTAAAAATAGGTTTTGCTATTTTTTTTTTTAGTAATTTTACACCTTTTTTCTACTGAAAATTTCAATATTCTAATTTATTTAGTTATTTTTTATTGTGGATAAAATTTTTAATGGTGTAAAAAATAGACATTTGGTCATGAACTAAGTGACTTTTGTGAAACGAAGCAATAATTTTAGACAAAAATTATCCCTAAAATTTAATATGCTAATTTAAGCTTTTTCTGAGTATGTACTCACAAAGTTCAAATGCCGTTAAAATAATTTAGAAAAAAGTTTAAAAGGTGTGAAATATTAATTTAAAATTGCGCTTCCCGTATATTTCCGTCTGAAAAAATGATAAAAATGTTTATAATTTAAGCACCTTCAGGAAATTATGATTATAAAAGCACTTCTGTACTTGGAATACACAAAACTTGTACCGAGGTAATATCGGCAGAAATTTGATAAAATTTTTTTAATTTTGTCTTTATTTGAAAATTATTTATTTATACTGTCATTTTGATGTTTTACCTTTAAATTTTATTCCGTCATTTTATTGTTTTTTCTCCCTTTGGGTATTTTTGTTTTTATTCGAAAATTACATTTTACTCTTATTTTTATTTATGTGTTTTATATTATTTTGCTTTTTATTTTATTTTGACTTGTTTCATTTTATTTTATTTTGATTCATTGACCGACTTCAAAAAAAGGAGGAGATTATCAATTCATCGGAATATGTTTTTATGTATGTTACCGGATAAGTTTGGACCACGTGAACAGTTTTCGATATTTATTTCTTATCGGAAAGTTGGTACCTCACGGGTGGTGTCATGCTAATTTGGTTTACGAAATTAACGATATTCCAAAATTTTTATGTAAGAATTTAAGACGGTTATTTTTGTGCTTAAAAAATACTTGTATTTTATGTATTTAACTTAATTACATGTAGTATTGTATATTATATTTTTTTGCTTGCCTTTATTTTTTTTTATCTTATTTTAATTTAATATAATTTTTTATTTCTTTTGTTTATAATAAAGTTAAAGATTTAATGGTTAAAATTGGATTTTTATTTTTTTCGATCACTATTAACCGCTTTTTTACGCTTTTATATTTACGATCCAGAATATTAGTTATCTTTGGATTAATATTTTTTCGTTAAATTTTGATTGTTCTTCTCGAATTCTACTTTTTCAGTCATATGAAGGCATATGAAACACGTAGAAAAAGAAGATTTACGTGTATTTTGTTAATGCTTCTGGTATCTAAATAATATTCAAACTTTTTATGAAATAACGATTACTTTTTATTGAAAAATAAAAACGACAAAACGGCGGTCAAATTTGACCGAAAACAATCGAATTTTGTTTAATGCTTTCAATTTATTTTAAAATTTTATTTTCTATTCTATTATTTTCTTTTGTTTTTTCTTTTACATTTT